CCCCAAAACCCCAAAACCCCAAAACCCCAAAACCCCAAAACCCCAAAACCCCTTTCAGCCAAAATTTATTGAAACAGATTTTTTAAATATTTATGATTTCTGATTGGAGTGCTGTTTTACATAATTTTTGTATTAGGTAAACCAAATGCTTTACTGATTAATTTTTGTTGGCGTTTATGTCTAGTAGCAATATCTGCTTTTCTTCTGTGATAGCCAGAATCGTAGTCCAGCGACCTGTTGCTGCTTGGCTTACGAGGAGGGAGGAGTCTTCTATGATCAATACTACTAGCTCTATTTCTATAATTTGGTATAGAAGGGATTCCAGGAGTAGCTTTAGGAATAGGTGGTAGCTGTAATCCTGGCCTATCATAATTCCTATTATAATGAGCATGCCTATTGCTTTTGGGAGGAAGAAGTGCTGCCCTTTGGCATTTTTCAACTCTGTTGTTGCTTTGGTGTCTGCCAATATAATATGGCTTGTTTTTGTATCTTTGTAGAGCACTATAACTATTTTCTTTTCTTAAATTTCCATTCAAATCGTATCCAGTTTTTCCTCGAGCAGAATAATTTCTAACCTTAGGTTTTGTTGGTTCAATAGTTTCTAAAGCAGAATCATACTTAGCAGAGGGAAGTCTTTCTTTTAATAGTTTAAAATTTGAAGGTAACTTGATTGTATCAAGAAGGTTTGTTGAACTTTCTTTCTTCTCTTCTTCAATGCCACTTTCTCTTAAGTGAATTACAATTTCTTTTGTTCTTAGTAAACTTTGAGCGCCTAGCCTTTTTGAAGGGGTAACTCTCAATCACATATCTATTACATTGGCCAAATCATCCGAGTACATCTTCGGAATACGTGTATAGTCTCCCTTTATAACTTTATTGTAAAGTCCCTTCATATCTGAAGCTGTGAATGGAGGTCTTAATGCACATAATTCATAAAGGACTCATCCAAGAGACCAAATATCGCTTTTTGAATCATAGGGTTTATCCTTCCAGACCTCAGGGCTTGCATAATATGGGGTTCCAGTTTGAGTAAACATCAGGCCTGCACGATTGACCTTTGAGACATTAAGATCTCCAAGTTTGACATCTCCATCTTTGGTCAAGAAAACATTGGCTCACTAAATTATTTATCATTTCTGGTTTTGAGTAGGAATTTAAAGAAAGAATAAATTTGACCAGAAAAGAAATTATGAATGTACCTTTAGGTCTCTATGAACAATCTTGTTCTCATGAAGATATTTGATTCCGTTGATCATTTGTATGCAGTACTTCCAGATCATTCCCTCTGATATATTTTTGTAGTTCTTCTTGGTATTATCAATAAGCTTCTGAAGGTCTCCTCCTTCAGCGTACTCCATGATCATGCAGAGTGATTTACTTGATTCATCAAAGAAAGCATCTTTATAGCCAATAATTTGTGGGTGGTTGAGGGATGCAAGAATTCTAACCTCGTTCAGTGCATTTTTACGGTCTTTGGCATCCATTCCATTGATCTTAACTTCTACACAAAGTTAGCGAATTGTCAAATTAGAATTTTCTGATGTCTGATACTTACTTTTTAAAGCATAGATTTGGTTATCTTCGATTCTTTGTACTTTCTGTACTGTTCCAAATGACCCAGATCCTAAAAAGAAAAGTTAGATTAAGGCCAATACGCAAATAGCATACCTAAAGTCTGAAGTACTTTGAAGTTTTCCATATTTTCTATTTAATTTAATAAATTTTATATGTCTTTGAGTTATTCTTCAAAGATGAGTTCAACAAGAGTGAATGTCTGTGGGGTTTTGGGGTTTTGGGGTTTTGGGGTTTTGGGG